AAAGCTTCCAATGGTAACTGCAGTTACCTCACAGAAGAGCCAGCCCAGGGTGTTAACAATAAACACAGAATAACACAAAAAGTATACACCACCATTTTCTTTTTCAATAACATGACAGCAATCATACCTGTATTCAGGTGTCCTCATGTTTCATGCATGAGCATATACCAAGCAAAACAAATGACTAAAACCCAGAAAATACCAGGAGCCCCAAACATCCAAAGAGAATTTCTTCCACCACTTCTACTATATAACTGAATAATAAGCAAATGCCCACCTGAGCTGCATGAGTGATAGATTCTTCATGACAGGAACCTGTGGCCCTCATCTATTTGCAGCAATGTGTCATAAGTAAAGAAAATAACAGTAATTTGCTAGCATTTTCAGTTGTATGCTGGCAGATTTGCATATTTTTGCTCCTATTAGCATACACACCTTTCTTCAATACGAATTCTTGAATTTGGCAGTAATGCTGGCTGTATCATCTTGATGGAAAATTATTTCCTTCAAAATTAGGTTTTCCTGAAAAAAAATAAACAAAAAATGCAACAAAAAAACTAGCAGCACCACCAAAAAAAACCCCAACAACAAAACAATAATAACAATAAAAAAGCATGACTCTTGTATCTCTTATTATTTTGGCCATTCACACTTTATATCACATCCCCAAACTGCTAATTTGAAGCAACTGCGAAGATGCAATGGAGGCTTTAGCCTGACTAAATGAAGCTCATGTTTCTTGAGAGGGTTGCTAATTGGCTTATGATAGAAGAAAAAGAAGGAAAAAAAAAAAAAGGCAAGAAAAAAAAAAAACAGCCTTTTCTCCAATTGAGCTCAACAGGAAGAGAGGTTTCCTTAGTCCCACCTCCAAGCCACAGGGATGTGCTATTTATAGGGCAAAAGACCCTAACATCAAGAGTTTCTCTTTGGTAAAGTCTTTGATTTTGTTGATTATTTTTTTTTAAATAAGGCATTACTTTTTTGTTGTTGTTGTTTTATGCTGTCTAAAACAGAATTGTGTGAAAAGTTTGCTAATGATACTTGTATATGTTTTTTAGTGTGTATAGTAGTTATGGTTGTTTATGAATAAGCTTTTGAATTTAAGTGACAAATTCCTCCTTCAGTAGTAGCCTGGTATGTGCAGAAAACTTCTCTTTTTAGAAAATATTTTTTTGGTCTGGGCAGTTTTATTAGTTTCTCTTACACTTCTCTGCATTTGGATTTTCTGCTTTTTAACTCTTCTCATGAATGAGAACATCTTCAAAATTTTTAACCCTATGTGCAGTCTCTCTTTAAAATAAATGAAAAGAAAACCAAAACAACCCACAACTTTTTCCTTAGAACTAGCTTTTTGTGACTTGTAGGATATGTATATTAAACTTTGTTATACTACAGGATAAAGTTACACTGTAAAAGTTATAACAGAGCTGCATGATACTAAGGATAGCTAAAACTTTTAGGTACTCTTCCATTTGCATGGAGTTGAAGCTGTAAACTTGCAGTTTCATGTCTTTCAGTAGTACGAGAACTTTCATTTAGAAACCAGAAGACCTTAAACCTCACCTATCTATGTAGGTATCTTGTGTTGTATGAGTCCAACAGATGTTACAGAGCCTGATCCAAGTTTTCAAAAACTGTAACACATTGCATATGCTGTTTTTTATTAACAATGAAATAGACACTTGTGTACCTATTTCTACATTTAGTCTCATTTTTAGCTTACAACTACTATTTTTAAAAGTCTTTTCTGATTACTTCATTATTCCTCAGAACTGCATAAGCTTGTTTTGGTTTTGTGATTTTATTGTTGTTCATGAATAGAAACACTAAATAAGCTCTGAACTGTAAAGTTTTGCATTGAACCCAAGCCTTAGATTAAATGAATGTATTCCACTGACTTCCTGATGATAGAGGATTCTCAGTGTTTTCATGGGAACAAAAAGGAAGTAATCTCCTGTTCTTGAGTATTTAAATATAAATTTAAAAC